TGTAGATCTATTTCTCATTATTCACGTTTTTTATCTTTATAATATAATATATAGATTAAGTTCTTCTCTCACTTTTAACTTAATTTTTTTATTTAAACGTACTTTTTATTAAAAATATTTAAAAAATAATATTTTTCTTATATAAATGTGTGTTATAAATTTGTTAATTATAAAAAAAAGTACTTGTTATAAAAAAGATCTAGATTATTTTTACAAAAAAAATAAGAAAGATCATTTTCATTACATTAAATAATGATAATTATTTATAATACATAATTTTTCCTATTTTAATTTTTTTAATTTATCATCGTTATATTTAAAATTGCCTGTTTTTATGCTTCTTTATGAGAAACTTAAGTTTTGCTGCACAATTCGTACCATTCGGGTATTTTTCTAGCCCAGTCGCACTTTCCACTGCGTTCGTCGAACGCCTGACCGAGTTTGCATCCGCTTCGCCTCGGTATCTCACCGTTGACACACACGTAGAAGTACTGGCAATCTTCAGTGTCAGGATAACGCGGATGCGTCGCGGCCACCGACTCGTTAACCTTCGGACAAGTGAAGTTGAAGAGTTCGCGGGAACCGCAGCCCTTCTTCTGTGCTTCGTCCGGCCAATTGCAGATGCCGGTCTTTTCGGAGAAGACCAGACCCTCCGGACAAGTGATCATGTTAAATTTGCCCTCCACGCAGTAATAAAAGGTATTACAATTCCTGGGGTCCTCATGAGCGAAGTAGCCGTGCATGCGAGGACAGTGTGGTGATGGTTGTGGTTTTTCTATAATAAACAGATGGAAAAATGTATAAAAATGAAATAACTAAATGAAAAAAATAAAATTTTTTTCTATAAAGCAGATCATTATATGAAATAAATTTTACGAAATTTGTATATTGTTCAAAAGATGCACATGTTAACATTTTTTAAATAATATTTTTCGGAACGACTTAATCTATTTCGTGAACATATATTATATTTAATTTATGAAGGATGAACTAGGGAGTTCTCTTACGTAGCTTAGATCTTTTTGTACAATCGATACCAAATGGTAAATCGCACTTCTCATGCTGCGGGCTAAAATCATTAAAAACAAGACCGTCAGGGCACAATTTGTCCGTTATTTTGCCGTCTCGACAATCATAATATTTATCGCATTGTTCTGCGTCTGGAAAATATCCATTGGGTTCTGGACATTGGTCCACGAGTTCTTCGTCATCCTCGTATTCTTCCTCTGGCTCTTGTTTCTTCGGTGTCGTTGCCGAAGCAACCCTTCGGCGACTTTGCTCAGCGGCCTCTTGCTTCCTTGTCAGAGCAGTGACAGCTCCTGTGTGTGATAAAATTTTTTTATATTAATTAAAATATATGAATGAGAGATTGCATATTGACAAGAACAAAAAGAATTGTAATTAAATTTTTTATTAAATCCTTATTAAATTTTTAATTCTAATAATTTTCCGACAATATTTTATTAGTACTGACTCACATAAAGTATTTCAGTAATTTATGTATTTTGTATTCGTTTATGTATGTATTTGTTTATTTCAATTTTTTATTATTTATTGTGTATTTAATATATGAAAAATTATTTTGGGGAAAAAATATCGAATAATTAAGGGATTACATGAAATTTCAGTCTCATTATCGTTAAATTAAACTTTTTATGAGTTCGAATTCGAAGCCTTCGAATTTTGCTTGAACTACTTTATGTCACGAACTGCTCAAACAAAAAATAAAACGAATTCAAGAAAGAAAATGAAGGAAGACAAGAATGGAACGTTAATATAAGAGGGTCGACTGGTCTCTTGGCATGTTTTCAAGGCAGTACATCGTCTGCGTCCCTGAAGAAATGCCGGTCGACCTCACAAGCCTGAGCGAAGAAAGTGAGAAAGTGGTCGAGCTGCTGTACGTATACTCGGCCGACCACTCAGAACTTAAATGTCGCTTAATCGGTTCGGCCTAATAGTTTTCAAATGCACTTAGTAGATTTCAAATGCACTTAGTAGATTTCGATTCCTATATAAACAAATAACAATAGACAACTTTGCATCAATTTTCCAGAACTTTTTTCCTAATTATATATCTTAAATTAAAAGAGCTTTAAATTATTTTAAATTTATTTATCTTATTTATTATAAGAAATATAGAAAACAAGGAATAAAATAGAATGTAATGTAAAATACAAATAAAAATAATCATTTTTCAAATTTTATAATATATGTACATAATTTTATAATTAATTGAAAAAAATAAGTTTATTTTTTGAATTTCATTTATTTTATATTGAAATTATATTAAATATATAAATAAATTTATGAAATACTTGATAGATTTTTCGGTATATATGTTCTACATATGGCAAATATTAAAGAATTTTCATTTTTTTAACCAATTAAATTTTTTATCCAATTAAAATGGCAAATAAAAAAGCTAAACCAGTTATACAATTCAAAAGATTCTATCATAACATTTTTACATGAGAAAAAGAAATTTTAAAAGGATATTGGAAAATTCAGATTTATTTCAGATTTCATATTATTACAGCTACTCGGTTTTTTGAACTAATAAGGTCGTGTTAAGAGCTCACCGAGGCATATCAGGAGAAGAAGGATCTCCGTCTTCATCCTGATGAGAAAGACGTCGATTGAGAAAGAGTGACGTCACTATGTACAATGATCCAGTCGTAGTAACGTGGTCGTATTGGTGACTAGAGACTACTGGGCCCCTTCGAACGTCGGGATCTTATATGCGGCCCCCACTTCATCCAGGGTTACAACACTTGGTGATCACGTAGAATCTATGGGGGGAAAACCGACAATCATCTACATGTACATATATACACACATGAGTACAATGACACGCATTGATTGATATGATTTTCCATCAATGTTTTGTTCGTATGAAATTGGATATAAAATTGTACATTGGAAAATTGCATATATTAGCATATAAATTATATCAAAATCATAGACTGCATAAAACTGTCATTGTTTTTAATATATATAAAAACTGTATATTGATAAATATCTATCAATATACATACCCTGGTAAAAAAAATTGATAGAGAACGATTAAAAACGGTAGGATTTTTATCAATTTCTATAAGCATCGTTTTCTAAGTTTATATCATTTTCTATCGTTAATCTCGCGAGCATCACAAGTGATCGGATATGAATCCTACCGTATATTATCGGATTTTATAAGATTTGTACAAGATTCCTGTAAGATCTGATTCAAAGTGAATTTACGAATTAAATTCCATATTCGAAATGATAGAATTTTTCTGTCGTTCACTATTCCGAAATAAATTTGAATTTTCTGGTATCATTTTAAAATTTCTTTTTCTCACGTAAAAATGATAGAATCGTATCTTTTGAAATGTACAACATTTTAATTAAAAAATTTACACTGTTAAAAAAGTAAAAATTCTTTAATATTTGCCATATGTAGAACATATATATCGAAAAATCTATCAAGTATTATATTCATTTTCAAATTTATTTATATACTTAATATAATTCAATTTTCTTACTAGGATATTTATTATTTTTACGTATCTAATTAATAACATATAATATATTCTATCAAAATCATTTTGAAAAAACGTCAATATTATCAGTCAAATCTTTGTTAGTAATTTTAATGTGAGTTTCAATATATGTTTATCTGTGTATATGTCACATAATTAATATATTTTGTAATTATGTTTTTGGTGTATTTGTAATTATTTATTAATTTTATATAATGATTCATATCACATATAGTACAAATTTTAATAAATCTAAATATTCTAAATTAAATTATAATAAGTAGAATTTAAAGCAAACTGGAAATCGGAGGACGTGCTATAAAAGCAGTGCAAAGTCTTGCGGAAATCTCAAGTTTTTCTGGTAACTTTATTTACCTGTGAGATATTTTTAGCACATTAAAGTCCCTTTCGAGAAAACGACATGAAATTCTAGTTTCTTCCCTTGATGTTTCCAGTTTTCGTCTTTATACATCTGCTCCATAAAAATCGGGGTTTGACAATATCGATTAATCAATAATAATTATTATTTCACATTAAGTTTCATTAAGAAGAATATACGTAAATTAATTAAAAAAAGTTTTTTAAATAAT